AGCAGCAGCAGCAGCAGCAGCAGCAGCAGCAGCAGCAGCAGCAGCAGGGTGATCTAAGTCAGATGGACTCTGTCCTCAGGCAGAATCTCCAGGTTCCTGTCTTAGTTGAACTGAAAGTCCATGATCCACAAAGCTGAAACAATCCCCCTTAAGGCCCTTCTCAGCAGCCCAGCCCTGCCACACTCTGCCTTTCCCAGAACATACATGCCCATTTCTACCTGTAAGCCCATGCACTGCTGCTCCTCCAGTTCTCTAGAGAGCATGTTTTCAGGGGGAATATCACTCCAATGCCGCTTCCCCGGCCCATCACCCTCCTCCAGTTCACTTGCCCCCTCTGCCATGTTGTTTCTCTCCATAGCTTTTGCCATCACCTGGCACAGTGTGAATTTTTCATGTTCTTGTATTTGCCCATCCCTCTCCACCAAACATGAGTTTTTGAGAGGGGGAAGGAGAAGAGATTATGCTTGTTTGCTTGTCTGCCAGAGGAGGGTTGTCCAGTCAGAACTAGTGCTGTGGGGCCATGGAAGTTAGTGAGCAGGACTCAAGTCCATGGGGCCATGGAGATTGGAGAACAGAACTGAGGAAGGGCTCTGTGCTGGTAGCAGTGGCTGAGGAGGAGAAGTATGTGGAAGGCTTCTCAGAAGAGGACACATGGGCCTAACTGTGACTGAGGGGCTTGGGGATTCTGGCTGCTTTCATTTCCTCCTAGGCAGACAGAGGCACAGCCTGTGACATCCCTGTGCCTGTGTTCTGCTTGCACGGAAGCTAATAATTAGGGAAGGAAGAGGTGTGGGGCAGCAGGCAGTGTCCTTGTCCACTTCATCAGCAAGGGGACCAGTCTTGTAGGGTCTGCAGCACTAGGGGGACATACTCGTTCTATATCCATATCCACACTGTGCACCAGGCTTATATTCCAGGAAGGTGGTGCCCTGCAGGCTGTGGAAGATCCATGGCCTCCTGAGCAGAACCTGAAAACAGACCCTTGCTTCAGGGTGCTTGGTGGGTTTCTTCCCTGAGGTGCTGCCTGAGTGGCAATATAGCTCCATACACTTTCAAAACACCACTTTTCTTTGGCAAAAGAAACTTTTTGCAAAAATATTTGGGAAAGAGGAATATTACGCATAAGCTAACAGACACAGTGGAATTTTTGAACACATTGGCACATGTCCTGTTTAGGACACAAATACATAATGACTAGAAGGAAACATTTGAGAGTGGTGTGTAAATCAAGAACTTACAGCTCAGTGCTGTGGTACACACCTTTAATCCCAGCAGCAGAGGTAGGTAGACCTTTCTGTTCAAGACCAGCTTGGTCTACAGAGTGAGTTCAAGGACAGCCAGAGCTATACAGAAAAATCCTGTCTTGAAAAACTGTAAAAAAAAAAAAAAAAAAAAAAAAAAAAAACC